TGCCATCTCAAAAACCCGCTCTTAAAGTCTTGTAAGAAACTTGTACCTATCACGAACACGTGCTTTTAGCTGTACATAACGTGAGCAGACATTACACATTCGGGGATTTGCTCTTCTAAAATGAGTATGCAGTTTTTTTGTTAAAATTACACAGGCTGACAAATTTTCAAACCAAAGACCAAAGTATAATATTCTAAAATATTGCGTCCTCTTGAATCCCCATTTGGCCTTTGAGATATCGAGTCCTGAAATTTGAAAAAACGCAGAGATGATGTTATAACCCAATAAGCAAAAACCTTTGAAATGATGTAAATATGTATTTGAAAACCTATTCAAATTTCATACATAGCCTTTGAGAACAAATTTGAATATTTTTGTTTTCAAATGGAAAATTATGGCCTTCTCAAACAAAAAGGCAGTTAGAAATCAAACGTATTTTTCAAATGTATTTCAAAATTAAAAAAAGGCTAGAGGTAAGCTTGAAACTAAAGAAATTTTCAAACGTATTTCAAGTATTCTTTATTATTATTTTCATACATATTTCAAACCCTAATTATAATGCTAACTATTGCAAAATTCATATATTTTTTTACATCACCTGAAAATAAAACATTCATACATTTATTTTAGCATATTTTTCTTTTATATCTCCGATTATTTCTCCTATATTTAACGTTTTTTCGCTCCCTTGCTGTAGAAAAAATGTTCTGTTTTTATTTTTCTAAAATAATTTATTTTTTGAAAGAAACTTTTCTAAGTTCAATTAAAACAAAACTTTGAAAATTTTATAAATATCACACATTATATTTTTTAAACGTTTTTTGAAATTATCATGTTTATTTCAAAGGTTAAACTTTAAAATTTGAAAACAATTTGGAAAATACATTATTTAGTTAAGAAAATTTTCAAAAATATTCACAGGTTTGAATCGATGTTTATTGGGAACTACTCGAAGAAAACTTTATTTATAAAATGTTTTATGCCTTCGGAAAGACCAATCGAACCATCTAGTAGCTGGTTCCCTCCGAAGTTTCCCTCAGGATAGCTGGTGCATTTAAAAATTATGTAAAATAATCTTATCTGGTAAAGCGAATGATTAGAGGCCTTAGGGTCGAAACGATCTTAACGTATTCTCAAACTTTAAATGGGTAAGAACCTCACCTTTCTTGGTATGAAGGTTGTGGTTGTGATATAATGTGCCCAGTAGGCCACTTTTGGTAAGCAGAACTGGCGCTGTGGGATGAACCAAACGTAATGTTACGGTGCCCAGAAATTCTGAGTTCAAATTCGATTTCAGCGGTACCCAATCCTTTATAAAAGGATAAAGGGGTTAAAAATTTGTTTAACTGAGTTATTGACATCATAAACTCGCAAGATAGGGGTAGTTGAATGTTACGATAAATTATGGCATTTCTTATTTAAACTCCCTATAAAAAAGAAATAAACTTAAAAAAAAATCATTAATATTATTAAGTTGAAAAACAAACGAAACCATAACACGTATAGTTTCTTAAAAAATATGACAAGGAAGCAAAAAAATATATATTAAATTGTTTGCACTTGAACGTACTGCATGTTCGGCATATTAAGACAACAAAAAAAAAAACAACAACAATTGAAATAATGTATGTGTTTTGAGAAGGGGTCAATAACTTAAACGTAAAACGTAAACGTAATTTAAGACACCTCATAAGCTTACGAGTCTTTGACACCAAAAAAAAAAACGCACACACACTACAAACCAACTAACAACACTACACATGCTACTTATTAATTGATTATGTTAAAAAGAAAAGAAAACGCCCCAAAATATGCTTTGAATAATGACCATTACTTTTTCTTACACTTGCAGAAAACTTTGTTAGTAAGTATCAATAAAGATGATCCCAGTTTTAAAGGAGATGGCTACATCAGTTTGGCCGTGATTTATGCTTCCTTTGCTTTATGCAATTGGTTTGCACCCTCCTTTATAGCCTTCACCGGGCCGCGTACAGCCATGCTAGTGGGAGCATTAACATATACGTATGTATTAATAGTATGACAAAGGAAGAATTCTATTTCATTAATTTTTTTTCTTCTAGATTCTTTATGGTAACATTTCTGTTTCCCACCACTTGGCTGTTGTATGTTTCGAGTGCTTTACTGGGTGCAGGGGCCGCTATTACTTGGACTGGCCAGGGCACCTTTTTGGCACGTTGCAGTGATTCAGGCAATATATCACGTAATTCTGGCATTTTTTGGGCATTGCTTCAGTGCAGCATGTTCTTTGGCAATCTATTTGTTTACTATCAATTCCAAAATAAGGATCACATTGACGAACAAACTCGCAGTTTAGTTATTGGTGTTTTAATAGCTGTGGCCGTTTTGGGTGTTATATTTTTGGCTACACTCCGTTCGGTGCCGGATAATTCACATATGGATACGGAATTGCAACATCCACAATCGCCATATGATCGTTCAAAGGTCGCTTTAGTTTCGGCTGGTAAATTGTTTTTAACACGGGATATGCTGATGTTGAGTATGGCGTTTTTGTATACAGGTGAGAAGAATGTACTGTAGATTGATGATGGTTTAAAAGTTTTTATTTGGATTGGAATCACCAAAATATCTCTAGGCTTAATAGTGATCATATCGAATCCAAACGATAAAGTTCGTTTTTTTATACAGAACTAACTACGAACTGGAACTAGAACTGAACTAGAACTTAACGAGAACTGACTAGAACTGAACTAGAACTGAACTAGAACTGAACTAGAACTGAACTTGAACTGAACTAGAACTGGAACTAGACTAACTGACCTGTAACTAGAACTGAACTAGAAACTGAACTAGAACTAACTAGAACTGAACTAGAACTGAACTAGAACTGAACTAAACCGGAACTAGAACTGAACTAGAACTGAACTAGAACTGAACTAGAACTGAACTAGAACTGAACTAGAACTGAACTAGAACTGAACTAGAACTGAACTAGAACTGAACTAGAACTGAACTAACTGAACTAAACTGAACTAGAACTGAACTAGAACTGAACTAAACTGAACTGAACTAGAACTGAACTAGAACTGAACTAGAACTGAACTAGAACTGAACTAGAACTGAACTAGAACTGAACTAGAACTGAACTAGAACTGAACTAGAACTGAACTAGAACTGAACTAGAACTGAACTAGAATGAACTAGAACTGAACTAGAACGAACTAGAACTGAACTAGAACTAAACTAGAACTGATCTGAATAGAACTAAACTAGAACTGACTTTAGAGAATGAAACGGAAAAAGCGTACCACGATTTCCAATCGATCTAATAAATGTTTACCCTTATCACAACTATTTTTATTGTAACTAATACATTTCAATTGAAACTCTTCATTTTTTAGGTTTTGAACTTTCTTTCTTTAGCGGAGTTTATGGACCTTCTATCGGTTTTACTCAAAAAATCTCGGATACACCTAAAGAAATTATGGGATTGGCAGGTATTTGCATAGGTGTAGGCGAAGTCTTCGGAGGCAGTCTTTTTGGTATTTTGGCCTCGAAAACTACACGCTTCGGACGTGATCCCATCGTCATAGTCGGCTATGTTATACATATGATAGCTTTTCTTTTAATATTCTTAAATTTACCCGATGCTGCTCCTTTCAATGACACCAATGATATGTCTTATTTTGATCCACCTCAAGTATGGATTGCTTTAGTGTGTGCCTTGATGTTGGGTTTCGGTGATGCCTGTTTTAATACTCAAATCTATTCAATGCTAGGTGGAGTATTTGTTAAGAATTCAGTGGGAGCATTTGCTTTGTTTAAATTTACTCAGGTGAGAGCTGTTAAATAAATAAACTATTTTAAAAAATTATCTAAAATATTTATTTTTTTATTCCCATTTAGTCGGTGGCTGCTGCCATAAGCTTCTTTTATTCTTCACATTTGGGTTTAAGGGCTCAATTGGGTATTTTGGTCGTGACTGGCACTATAGGTGCGGCCTGCTTCTGTATTGTTGAATGGCGTGCCAAGAGACGGGCTCGCGAAGAGTCTCAAGATGTTTCAGAAGTTTCTGAATCAATTTCCGATTATCATAAATAAATCAAAATCTTTGACTTACTATTATATATACTACATACAACATACATATATGGACTTTAAAAAATTCCACCTACAAATATGATGATGAGATGCTTAAACATTCCAACATGTTTTTTGTGCGTATGTGTGCAATATTTTTTTATAATTATTATCATTTTCAAACGACATTTGTATAATAGAACGAAATGAAAAAGAAATTGTGTCAATTTGCAGTTAATGATTGTTGCTGTTGTAAGAAAAAAACAGATAAAAAATAGCAACGAACGAAAAATTATGAAAATGAAATCATAGAAATTGTTCCTTTTTTACAGTTATTGTTTTGTTAAAGTTTTTCTCTCTAAATAGTCTTCCGAGACAATAATTAGTACATTTAATGCCAAGAAATATGTAATAAAAACAAAACAAATATTAAACAATATAATGAAATTACAAAATAAATATTTACAAATTACAAACAATAATAAATAGCGATAAATAAACTAAACATACAAACATATGTATTTTGATGTATACTTAATTGTATTTTTTTATTAAAAACATTATGTTAAATTTGCATATTTTAGAATTTTTTTTTATAAATTTACAAACAAGAATATTTATGCATATTAAGCATATAAATAATATACATACATTTACATACATACATATATTTTTAGTGAATTGAATTATTTTTTATTTTATTTCTACGTTTGTATTAAAAAAAAATTGTTGAACAAAATTATGAATGTATAATAATTGTTGTATTCCTTTTAGTTATAAGTTTAAAAATAAAAAAAATTATATATTTATATTATTATTACGATTATTATTGATGTGGTAATTCAAAATTACAAAAAAAAAAAAAAAAAACATAACAAAATGAAAATTTATTATAAATAAAGACCTGAATTAAGAAAATATATATTGAAATTCTGAGTAAAACATAATTTATTGCTTTTTAAGGGTTGTATGCTTTTTTTTAAATACGAGGCCAAAAAATTTTCTAAAGAAAATTGCAAACCCTCCTTCAGCAAACGTCTGGAATTCCATAATTCCTTTATTAGTATGAATGAAATTCAGCACAAATAACTTCTACATATATAAACATAAATCCTTTCTCCAAGTTTTATGAGGATCGGCCCATATTTGATCCTATCACCAATATAAAGCCTGTTTCAGAAAATCAGTTTGTGAACAATTTCGTATTAAGAAAAAGATGAATGTCGCACAGTGGTATAGGAAAAAAAAAGAGGGAAATAATTCGGTAACTGCTAAACGGTTAATCTGATTTTAATGAAATTTGGTATGCACAAAGAGGAGGTGTTGTCGAGTTTAGGTTTTGAATTTGGACCCTATAGGCCAACCAGGGGCCCGGCGGGGGGTCCTCAAATTAGCAGACCTCGGCTATGTTAAATTTTTAAAACGATTCTATTTCTTCATTTGAGTTCCGATTTAAAAAAAATTTCGTATATAGAATCTCCTCATCAAGCACTATAAAAAATGTCGTCGTAGCAGTAAATTATCTCTTATAGTTTAGGAGATATTCGCATTTGAAAATTAAAATTTTAAAATTTTTACCGTCCTTACTTTAGTTTTTTTGATAATAGCGGGTCCAAATATTCCCGATTTTCGCCATTTTTTTTATTCGCTTAAAAACAAGTTTATATATCAAGCAGTGAAAGAATTATGTAAAAATCATGACTGAGTCCAAAGTTATAGGCATTTTAATTTAAAAAATTAAAAAAAGGCGATTTTTTGACATTTTTTTGGGAAAAAAGTATCTTTTTCTTTTTAAGTTATATAAAAAGTTTCTAAGAAGATGTATATAGAATTTATACTTTTTGGAAAGCTGACTTTACATAAAATACGATAAATGAAACAAAACCTAAAAATTTTTGATACCGAGGGGACCAGGTCCATCCAAAAAAAACCCTATTTTTTGTGGAAAATTCAATTTTGAGCAAAAATTCTCAAATCGCATAGTCGATATCAAATTATATTGACCTGTTTTATATGACCCAATATGTTCTTAATCATTTTGTAACGGGTTTCGATTTTTATTTAATTTTGGATTTTGAGTAAAAAAATCTACCTAACTGTAAAATTTCATCAAAAAATATTCATAAATAAAATTTTTATTGCAATTTAAAAAATTTGTATCTTCGCAAAAACTGAATAAAAACATTTTTTATTTTTTTTTTTAAAGTATATTTAAAAGTATTTTTAATTTTTAAAAATTATATACAGTTTTGAAAAATAGACAAAATTACCTTTCCATTGATATATAACATGCCTATGTTTTTTAAGTGACAAATTAATTAGGGAAAACTCAACATCTTTTAGAAAATTTACTTAGCACTATTGTTTTCATCCATATATGTAACAAATTTGAGAGTTAACCTTATGGATGAAAATAATAGCAGTTATAAATAGTACGGTTCTTATATAAAATACTTGTTCAAAACATCTCCTAACTTGGAAAAAAGTGCAAAACTTAAATCGAAAATATGTTTTGTGGATGAAATGCACACATATGTATTTCTCCAGGTTACTTAAACATTATAAATGTCATTGTAGAGGCTTCAACTTCTTTCTAAATCCATTGAGATACTTAAAATCGGTTGAGATTCAACTGTGTTACTATATTACAAGATACGTATCTCAAGATTTTGAAAGTCTTTGGCAAATTTCAAAAACAGATTCTTCTTCTACTCGGATCTGCCTTTCAGAAAAATAGTATCACTTCCCAGGTATTTTTGTATTTTCGTTTATTTTGTCTCACTGTAGTATCATTCAATCTGAACGCTTCGTGTATAATTCTATATTTCTAAGTTTAATATTAAACACAATTCAAAAAGTACCTGTTGAAGAACGAAAAATTACCACATAGTTTATTCGTATACATTAACATTCCATCAGGATCCTATATGTATGATTTTGTTTCTAGGTTCAATAATCAAAAAAAGTACCAATATGAATGACGAAAAAGTATCAAAAACTCTCCATTTATAGACTTTCTTTCAATCAGTATGCCGTGTGTTTAATTTAACGTTTGTTCAATATTATAAAAATATTTACAATGCATCAGTTGAAGACCAAAAAGTTTCAAAACATTTACTCTTCTAGATCTTCATTCCATCAGGATCTAGTTTTAATAGTTCGGAAAATCCAAGAAGTGCTAATTGAATGACAAAAAATGCCACAAATTCATCGTTTATAGATTTTCATTCAATCAATGTTCAGCGTGTTTATATTTACGTGTCTTGGTTCAATATTATAGAAATGTAAAAAGTACCTTTTGATGAACGAACTGGTACCTAAAAGTCCTGTCTATAGGTTCTCATTTACACCGGGCTGTACATGCTTAATTTCATGTTTCTAGGTTAATATTATAGAAAACTCAAAAAGTACCGTTTAAAAAAACTCAAAAGTACGGATTTT